CAGAGAGAGGATTATATTAATTATTCACGGGTTACTGAATGAATTTGGATCCTAAAGAAATGCCAGAGATCAGCACAGTGTTGGGTGTAGTTTGTCTTGGCTGTTGTCTGGGGGCCTGGTAACACTAAGTATGTGCTAAAATCACAACATTATTGACGCCATTATTATTAAATTCAGAGTGAACTCAATTTAGCAAAAGACACTGTTTGATGACAACTTGAAGTAGTTGGGAACCATTGGAGTTATTGTTTCTTCACCTCCACGGCTGATGAAAATCTATCATTCGATTTCACTCTAATGAAAAAGCCCCGTGTAATGTTCGCTGACGTAATATCAGTCGCTACTAAAAACATTAGATGACTCATCTACCCATCAAGTTGCTGCAGTTTACATCATGTGGCCAACTCCATGGTGGGGTAACTCTGTTATCTGTGGTCAAAACAATTACAACAAAATATTTCAGATCCTACACGAGTGAGCAATACTGAAGTTACAACTCCCCCAAAGTTCTTATCTTCCTTCTGCACCTCTAATGTATCATCTGGTATTTTCCCAAACAGATGATGTGACGGCATTTACAAAACAACCAAAGTGATACATGCTGTTAGACTGAAAACATTTACAGCTGAGTTTGAACATTAGTCTGTGAGTTTTTAGACGTCTTTCATAGCTTTAAAACATTATTGCATGTCTCTATTGTGTCTAGACGCTCATAAGATATTGGAATACATTGGAACAGGGCTTTAACCAGGATAATGGAGGCATGGTAGAATGGATGATCTCTGCAGGATCTGGACCAGAAATATGAAATACACATTATGGGGGCATGTGAGATACATTAGCTTGCAAAAAAAAGGGGCATAATATGGGACCTTTAATGCAGAAAAGTGACATATTGCTGTCTTAATCTGTATTATAAATTTCGGGATAACTGTGGAGGTTCTTATGTGAGGAAAGGGGCATATAAACTAAGGCTATGCATAGTTCAAAACAATAACATATTTTAGCTTTAAGGTTAAATATTGGATACACACTTGATCCTCTGAACCCTGCCGGTGGGTTTTAAAGGCGCATTGCCATCTAAAAAATCACAAAAATTAAACAATCTGTAAGACAAAGAAACTGTAAAGACAGAAAGAATGATTTTTTAAAGTTTCTAACATTCCTTGAACTGCTCATGTACGATGTGCAGTTTCATTTTCTAGTTGTTTGAGTGACTTTTGTGAACTTTGCCTTTTCTTTAATGGAACGGTGTGAATACATTTGAGGACGACTGTACATCTATATCTTTCAGTGCATCCTAAAAAAAAAATAAAAATAAAAACCAAAACATCATAATTGATGGATTATAATTATTTATTTTACTATAAATGATTAATATTACTAACATCTTCTCAGTACATAATTATGACTATGTTCCACTGTGAGCTTCAGTCATGACGGGAACATGAACAACTACTGTGTTCCAACAGTGACATCTAGTGGCCACTTTAAAATCTGGGACTTTTTGGAGAAATGAAAGTGAAAGTGTTTTGTTTTCCTGGATATAAAGCCCGGTGAATCAGCATCCTGGTAGTGTTGTCGGAGCCAGCCTGGTGCCCGGTCCCGTCCAAGTGAGCCGTCATGGAATCTCAGCCCGATGAAGTTCAGGAGCGTCTCATTGAAGACTTCACGCCGAGGCTGCGAGAGTACATCCAGGTGGAGCAGGTCCTCAACTGTGCGCACTTTCTCGACAACGAGCAGAAGGAGCTGATCAGACAAAAAGCGAGAACCGAGGGCAACCGCCGGGCTGTGGACCTGCTCCTGAGCGCGGTGGTCCGCAGGCCTCATGCTCCAGGCTGGTTCACGGCTTTCGTGGATGCGCTGAACCAGTCGGGCTGCGAACATGCAGCGGACTACATGCAGCTGAACCTGCCCAGTCCTGAGGCGGAGGCAGAGAATGACAGCAGGGTGAGGCTCATCCAGCTGCTGTCCCCCAGCCTGGTGGAGATGAAGACGGATCAAGTGTGTGCGCACTGCTTCGCTGCAGGCCTGCTCACCGCCGACGACAACGAAATCGTGAGTACACTGATGTCCTCATATTTAT